AAAAATATAACTCAGTACTCACTGCATTGAGTGACAGAGAGCGCATTTTCCCGTCGACGGAAACGTGAAGTCACGGACGGACAGACGGACGGACTGACAGACGGACATGGCGAGCACCAAAGTGCATTTTTTTCATGAATGAGAAATGTATTAAAAATTACTGGGCATATTACTATAATCTTGAACTGAACACAAGCAATTTCTGCTTGTGAACACGATCAAACGATAGAAGACTTAATTATATTATCCCTTAGAATATAAAAAAAAGTTACTGAGCTTATTATAATAACCTTAAACTGAACACAAGCGATATCTTCTGCGATCAAACGACAGGAGACTTAAATATATTATAGCCCAGAATAAATGAATATTACCGGGCATATTACTATAGTCTTGAACTGAACATAAGCAATTCCTCCTTGTGAACACGATCAAACGATAGGAGACTGATATATATTATACCCTGGAATGAATAAAAAATTACCGGGCATATTACCATAGTCTTGAACTGAACACAATCAACTTCTGCTTGTGAACACGGTCAAACGTTAGAAGACTTAGGTATATTATAAATTTCAATATAAAAAATAAATTACTGAGCTTATTTCCATAATCTTAAACTGAACACAAGCGATATTTTCTATTTATCGCGACCAAACGAGAGGAGACTCAAATATATTATGCCCTTTGAAGGAAGAATAAACAATTACTGGGCATATTACTCTAGTTTTCATCTGAACGCAATCAATTGCTGCTTCTGAACACGATTATTCGTTACGAGATTTATATACATTATAGCTTCAAGATGAAAGTTACTGAGCTTACTACTATAATCTTAAACTGAACACAAGCGATATCTTATAGTTAACGCGTTCAAACGATAGGAGACTCAAATATATTATACCCTAGAATACATAAAAAATGACTAGGCATATTACTATAGTCTTCAACTGACCATGTTGTCTGTAATTTTCCGAAGAAACGCAGATTGATCACTGGGATTCTCGATATAAAATCCTCAAAGAAGCGTTTTATTCATTCTACGTGGTGAGTTTTGCAATTTTGACGCGGTTGCTTGGATTAGCTCATGCTGATTTCATATATCATATAGAATATTCTCCTTAAATGAACTACATGTACTGTAATATATGAGCAGCAAATGTGCATATATACGTAAACTTGTGAGTCAAATCGCGTACATGTATGTGTGAATGTCGTTATTCAAAAATAAATTAATCGGAGATGAAAACATTTTTTGTCACGCAGGCTTTCTACGTAGGTTTCTGTAGCTATAGGTGCCTGTACACAGGGATAGTACTAGCCGCTAGTTCATCCGGCGCTTGAACTGTCCACGCTACTAGCCTCGTGTATAGGGGTTCAGCCGCTTCAGAGGCAGGCGCCGGCAAGTGCCCGAGGCGCGGCCGAGAGAGACAACGATGTGTTGATATCTGGGCTGGAGAAGTGGCTAGTAGCGCTGATGCAGCCATGGTGAGAGCATCTGTGCCGCTCTTGTGACATATCTTGGGTCACGTAAATCATGGCTTGTTTGAACGATAATGTTTCTAAGAGGAATCCAACAAAATGGATTCCAGACGATATTCAATTATTCTTTGAAATATGAATTAAAGTGGAATGTTTGCCATGACGGTTACTCCAACAAAATGAAGAGAGAAACGAGTATTTTGAAACTGGAAGAAGACCTTTTTAGTTAGGGTTTAGTTGTTCCTGACGTTGCATTTTTAAAGGTTAGAATAAAGAGTATAAAAACGACGTACAGACTCGAGTTGTTGAAGGTGATCCCACTATCCATCTTTGCAGACCTCACTCGACGGCTTCTAACGACGCACTGGCGGGCGCGAACGAGAAGATAGCGGCACCTTATACTCTCCTCGTGTGTACAGGCTTACTAGCCAGATAGTAACCAAGCGACCGACACTAGCCAGATTTACTAGCCGTCTGCACTATCCCTGTGTGCAAGCACCTATGGGTTAGGATCGAGTCATTGATTAAATTTCGTTCTTGAGGTTGAGTTTCCAATTATTGTTTTTGATCCATATACTACCGTTATGGCGGTTGTATGTTGTCTGTAATTTTCCGAAGAAACGCAGATTGATCACTGGGATTCTCGATATAAAATCCTCAAAGAAGCGTTTTATTCATTCTACGTGGTGAGTTTTGCAATTTTGACGCGGTTGCTTGGATTAGCTCATGCTAATTTCATATATCATATAGAATATTCTCCTTAAATGAACTACATGTACTGTAGTATATGAGCAGCAAATGTGCATATATACGTAAACTTGTGAGTCAAGTCGCGTACATGTATGTGTGAATGTCGTTATTCAAAAATAAATTAATCGGAGATGAAAACATTTTTTGTCACGCAGGCTTTCTACGTAGGTTTCTGTAGCTATGGGTTAGGATCGAGTCATTGATTAAATTTCGTTCTTGAGGTTGAGTTTCCAATTATTGTTTTTGATCCATATACTACCGTTATGGCGGTTGGGGAAGTATGTTAGTATGTCGTAATGAATGAGGATATCTCGTATGCCTTCTGGCTGACTCAACCAAACTGATAAACGCGGGACGACGGCCTGGACAACACGGCATGCACTGTCATGACGAGTTCTCCCTGCTGCCACCGAGCTGAATATTTTACATGATATTGAACTTCTTTAACCAATATAATATATAAATCATGAAATATTGCCGAGACTAGAGTTTTTAAATCGTATCTTGAAATTATTTCCATTTGCTTAGGAGATGGTCGTCAGGAAATGCAACGTAGAGCAACCGATTATTGTCGGCAATAAGAAAGCTTCTGAGTATTGACGTAAATTCTTCAGGAGGTGCAGTCAATGTCTAATAAGACTCATTTAGTTATTAGGTGTTCGCTGATGCAGGCGTTTGTTTAGAATTCGCGATGATACGCTCTTCACATATATAGCGACCATGTATGTATATTCCCTCCAGTTACATCCGCAACTCATTTTCTAGGAACATTGCAATCTCATGAAAATTTAGTGATGTTACCCATCAACATTAATTTGATATTATTATCCATGATGTAGCCTTCAACATCACTGCTAATAATCAAATGCAATCGAAATATTGTTGACTAATAATTATCTACATACTTATTTTATGAACACCGACTTTAAACGTTGCACCATCAAGAAACTCATGTTGATGTTATCATTTGCATATCTATAATACACTGCGTAGTGTGATCTCCACAAGATGTTGGCCCAGAACATGTTGCAGGTTCTCTTCAATGTTAAGAATCGGCGACAGGCCTACGTCCTGATAAACTCTGAAACCACTATGTTATTATATTATTTTCAGAAAACAAAATTCGACGAAAAATTTTGTAGCTTAATCCCGGCATTTAAAATGTAAATATGGTCAAAATATTTAGTAATCTACCTTTCCACTGTACTATTTACGGATTAAAAAACTTGAGCAATATTGGCGTGAAATAACAGAAGCATCCTATAGTACATCAAGCGTTGTCACACAAGGGTTCATCATGATCATGATATTAACTACATGATTTGATCAAAAGGCCAGTCTAGTTAAGAAAAGTACAAGAATCGGCGACAGGCCTATCCAGGCCTATTCTTCAATGCCGAAGATACTACTATACTACTACTATACGGTAGAATAGAATAGAAACTCCTCCATTTCGGCTCTCTTTCTAAACTCTTGCTTGTTGGTTTCACAATTTCGGCTTTAAAAACAGAAAACATAGAAGAGCACTTCTCTTCCACCATTTTTTCGCTTTTTACAGCGCTAAGTGCAGGTTGTTGGCAGTCCTGACAGTACCAGTGTACTGACTTGTTTTTACGAATAACCGAGCAGTCAGTCTTGCTTAACTTGGCACAAATGTTGCAGATGGTATCCCCGCAACGATCGCAGGCCACTGTAGCGTCATTGACGTTAAGCGATCCCAGCTTGCAAAATTTACAAATTTCTCCTCGCTCATTTTGCAATTTGATCTTCGAATTCGGTTTAACAGGACTTGAGGCCTCCTCATTTAATTTTTTACCTCTCTGACCAGCCATCATGAAATGCAAGAGCTAAAGACAAAACACAATTTAAAACTGAAACAAGTTGAGTAAAAATTGTAAAGTTTCAAAGGGCTGTAAAAACTCGGTTAGACTTGAGAATTAGCGGCTTTCAGTCGTCAGCGGCTGTAAAGGGTGTCAGGGTAGAAGAGGTAAGCTTGGCCATAAAAACAAGGGCTCTATTGTTCTACGCTGGCGAGGCAGTGCTGCACGTTGCCCTCGCCTGGCCTGCTTGCGTCCCTCGCTGACTCTAGATCGCGTTATTTCAGATGGAAACACTTTTACTATAGGCTTTTTTTCTATTTGCACTCTCTTTTACTGACTTCGCGGAAAATTCAGTCATTCACTGACACGGATCATAAAAAAATGCAAAAAGAGTTCCGAAAACGGCACAGTTAAAGTTAAAAGTTGAAAATCTGGGACCGCAAAACACGAGCGTTCACTCTCGACCACGGCTGAAACTTGACTCTTGACCGGTATTACTGTACAAGCAAATATAGCCAAGCTCCTGTTGACAAATTAATTTATTTTTTCCAAGCATTTTATAAAGAACACAAATCGTAAATGGTTGAATAAAATTAGCCATTTTTCCATCGCACTAGGCGTAATAATGCAGAATTTATGACTCACTTAACAAGATTTCACCACGCAAGTAAAAAACTGCGATATTATTCCTCAAGTAATAAAAATGTAGAACTCATTGTTGGTCGGCTAATATAAACCATCAAATAGTGAACCACTGTTCACAATTACACACTAACAATGATTATACGGATCCGTTTTGTATGTTGCACACCCACAACAAAAGCTGCTCAAACTTTTGCGAAAGGCTGATCAGACGACTCGAGTTCACGGATCTGTTCTTACCCACTTCAAAATCAATGCGCTATTCCGACGCTCATCCTTCGCGAAAGGCCAATGACACGCTCCCAATTGGGGTTTTTATGTAATGTATGAAGCATCAAGTTGAACTTGCGATTCTCCCATAATATGCATTCCAGATCAATAAAATTATCATCTAAAAATAGTGCAACCTATTCAAGAATCTCGGAACTAACGTTTCAATTAGGTAACGGGATGTCGATTGTAGAGATATAAGTATATATTGAGACACATTCTTTTGTACAGTTGCGACTATATTCTTCTTGTACCATCAATTCAGTTACTAAAACTCTGAATCATACTTCTCAAAGAAGGAATTAAGTGTAACAGGACTTATCTGATAACTATAATTCAGTAAGTGAAATAACATTGTAATTAGGGTAACAATTGGATAAGCAATATAAGAAAATAAAAATAATAATGCTCATAATCAAGATCATTTTCACAACATTCTTCTTCAAATTTCCATAAAATCATGTCATTCCCATAACACAATAGCTAGAGGTAGGAAGTGAAATAATCTAAGGAATAGAAGCGAAGTCATACAAAATCGTCCTCAAAATCCGTCAGTAGAATATTGGTCCCACAGTGTGGCAGTTCTGATCTCCGTAAATTGAGGTTGTAATTTATTTCTTCAACCTTGGCAAGATTCCGACGATGCACTGCTATTTTATTCTTTAATGACTGTAAAAAAAACATCGCAGTTAGAAGATAAATTTCGATTGTACTGCAAGGGAAAATAGTGCTAGCAAATTTTTCAACGATAAAAAAAAACTAAAAAATATCGTAAATCAAATTTTTTGCTAATGATAATGCAATCATGCAAGATGAAATTAAAGTTTGATAATGAACACAAGATACATATTATACACATGATCGAATAAGATAAATAAGACTCGATTTTCATCTTTATTGAAAGCACATTTGCAAACATAAACTATGAGTACGTTTTGACTTGAACTGCCATGTGATTCTCGTTCTAAAATTTGAAAAAGTACAATGCATCTTTTATTTAGATTTATTTACATTTCTATAGAAAATAGACATTTAAATTTTTTATATAATAGGTATCTCTCAATCGAGTTATGCAATGAGTTACTGTTCTTCCACAAAAGAATAAATTTTCAGGTCCACAAAATATTCCGACATTATAAGAATCCTGGAAACACGCCACAACGGCACCTATATATTTGCTGTCTCAGGTTTCAAACACACACAAACTTTGACAACTAAACATATGATTTGTTAATATCGCAAAGCAGTTTCCCTAGAAAAACTAAAATAATAATGCTGATGTCACCACCAGGATTTCATGCAAAATGATGAATTCATTTCCTCCAGAGTTACTCTCACTTACCGGGGCAGGAGCCTGTAATGACCCGTAACCAGCATTCATCTGACGCAGACATTGTACCACCAATGCACTCTTCTCAACTTCTCCAACACCGGCGCACTTAATAAAATACCTGAAATAAGATCAAATGCATAAGAATTTCAACAGAATCATAGCATCATTTGCAAAGGCGCACTAGTAAATGCAGAAATTGAACCAAAAAGTAATTTCATGCAAATATCTTAAAATATAAGCATTTTTCATGAGCAGGAAGAATGGAATGAAAATAATTTTAAAGCTGAAGTAGAAATGGACACAACTAGGGCAAGAATTATACTAGGTTTGATACAAAGGAAAAAAAAACGAGCTGTCTAACATATCTCCAAAGCGGATATTTAAGTAACTCAGACATTGTTATTAATATACATTATCATAATATATACAGTATTATTTTTATCAAAATAAAAGTCGTATTAGATCATATTATATAGCCATTATCAATATAAGAAGTTCAGCATACAGATCACGGATTTTACATGACATAAGAAGCAAGTAATTACCTCATGAGCTCCCCGGAGACATCACTCAATCCTAAAATGTAGGCATCAAAAGAAACCATTTTTGCAGCGGAGTGAGTGCAAGAACTAACAGGTTTTGCAGAACTGCTACTCTGCAAAGAGAGAAATAAATCTTTCTTAAATGCATTTTTTTAAAACCCATACTTAGCATATAGGTACCTATCATGCCTTGGGTCAGAAGTATGGTAAAAAAATGGCTGGAACTTTGGCAAAATTCAACATATATATATAATGCTCAACATCTGCTGAGTGGTTTAAAAAAGTCAGTTTCAACTTTCAATGAAATTCTACTTAGCAGTAGTTCTGTACACAAAAAAGAGATGCCAAAATGGCAGATGTTGAAGTTATATTATTTTACACAATGAAAAAACAAAATTAGGAAAGAAACTTGATTTCCGCCTGCAACCATTGCAGCTCCTTATCTGAGATATATACCTATGCATATTTTATTCAAGTTATTTGTAAGAACATATTTTTGTAAAAGATAAGAACATATTTTTGTAAAATCCTTTAAAACAAAGTAATTTATAAAAAATGTATTCAGAGCTTCAATTGATGTGAAATATTGAGTGCCAGAACTTACAAGTAAATTTTGGAACATCATTTAAAAACATCTAGTGTTAAATGGGCTTAGTACAAGATGTTGTGATGCATCCATCTCCTTACATAATCTGTAGAAATGGAATCACAATAAAATTGAAAGTTCCATTTTGTTTTATATGAAAAAACTTACCAATACTTGAGGAGGCTCTGCTGCATATGAGCTGATTTCAAAGAAGGATGACAGAGGGACATCTCCATTCATAAAGCAGCATACTTGCTCAAAGCTCAAAATAAAATTCTTCTTCAGAAAACTATAGAAAAGTAGGGCTTCCAAATATTCTTCTATTCCTGTAAAACATGATGTAAATACAAATATTATACTACCCATCACATATAAATAATAATAATTACAGTATGACACTTGAGAATAATGGTCTCACATATTAGGATGAAAAAAATTGAAATACAACTAGGTAAATACATCAAACAATACACTGGAAAAAAAATAAATAACTTGAAAACTTTTGGCACATAATTCCACTATAATAATCTTGTTAATGAGAGAACATAATATGGGCAAAACATTTAAATTAAAGATAGTAAAAAATGTTCTCAATACAAATTTTCCCATCCAGGATAAGGACAGTGTAGTTAAGTACAAGTATGTATTAAGGATGTTGTAGCCTAGCTGGTAGCCACAGCCCACAGCCTACCACTAGCATGAGCAGGACTGTATTGATGAAGTGCTTCTCCATCCAGAAGTTTGGCTATTGACGTTATAAGTGAAGCTTGTACCATGGAGAGCTGCTCTTCAGATTCTTTGAGGCACAGCTCTTGTTCTGCAACTGCACATCTGGAAAAAAATATAACTCAGCACTCACTGCAGTGAGTGACAGACAGAGAGCACATTTTCTTGTTGACAAAAACATGAAGTCACGGATGGACTGACAGATGGACATGGCAAGCACAATAGTGCATTTTTGTCATAACATAAATGAGAAAATGTGCTAAAATGATTAAACTTGCAACTAAAATTAAACAAATATATTTAATATTTACTGATATTTACAGATCAAGCAACTAAGCAAGTTCACCAGCTGGCAGGTGGACTGGCATTGAAAAAAATAACCATTTTTACCACAATAAAACTCCAGGTTTCAATAAATCCTACAAAGTTCATCATGCTGATGACAACAAATTGACATTTATTTAAATTCAAGAGTTCAACCATAAACTCTAGCCTAGGTGAGCCGTGAGTAGGTACTACTACTAGATTGCAAAGCTCTTAATTACTATATCCAGCATTCACTGCTCAGCTGAAAGAGCTATTTCAATGATAATAATATGTATACTATAACTATAGATCTTAATTTGATCATTATAGTTCAAGTTCAATATAAGTTACAAACTTCTAATTTATCCAGAACTAAAATAATCATGACAGTTGTTATAAACAACTGAAATTCTCTATTATTATACCTACAGTAGAGATAGAGAACTTCATTTGTAGGTAAATAAATTAAAAAATTTTCATTGAGTTTATATTCTAATATTCTAAATATATTCCACTAATCCACTGCGACTGCATCACTGATTTATTATGATAATAAAACAACGCAGACCCAAATCTCACTGGGACTCACCCTGGGATGCGGTGCAGAGTGCAGATGATTTTTTTGCTCTCACGGTTCAAATCCCGATTCATTTTATATATACTCTCATATTTGTCATAGGAATGATTCAATTTGGTTGAATAAGTAGCAAAGCATTTTAGTATGGCTGAATTTTCTATTTCCTCTGACGTTTCCATTATCTAAACAAATAATTGTTAACTGACTGTGTATCGACATTCACTGAAAGTTCGTCAAACAATTCCAAAATCCAACGTTGTCGGAACTCGGGAAAATTAGGGATGGCACTCGAATAACAAACTCGCTGTCAAACTCCACAAGCCACTGATGCTTTTATGGCGAACAATTGATCCGACAGCAGACGGCGGAAAGGCGAATTCCAAGAATTTATTTGAAAGGTAACATTTTCGCGTTTCAGTTGCTAGGCATATATTTCAGAACACAAACTAAATATGAGATAGAATTCCAAACTTTGATATCTATTACAATGTTGAACCATTGAAGCTCACAATCGCAATACTATGCAAGAATGTTTTTTTTAAAAAAAACCTTGCAGTAAAAGATGTTGCAGCGTGATATTTGACAAAAACTCAAATTACTTGACACCATTTTCCCAGGTCTTGTTGCCCTTTGTCATAGAAAGGTGATAAAAAATCTTATCTGTTAGATAATTAAATAGGTTTTTGAGGATAGGGTGACTCTAAAACGGTGACTCTACCAATCCTGTCAGACTGTCATAATGGTTTCATAGCCGGTGGGTCGTGTACAATGTATTGCCCAGAGCTGGATAGCGCTACTTTGAAATGTAGCGGCCGCTACCGCTACCGCTACATGCTCTAAATGTAGCGGGCGCTACCACTACCGCTACACCCACTAAATTGTAGCGAGCGCTACCGCTGCCGCTACAGTAAAATGTAGCGCCGCTACATTAGCCGCTACAATGGCCAAAATTATTGGAAATCTCTAATATTTATTGTTCTGCTATTGGGATTTACTCATAAACATTTAATGATAATAAAGCATTTTCAAGACATATCAATGCAACTTCATTGCAATTAACCTAACCGAACTAGTACGGGTTAGATCCAGTAAATAAAAGCCACAGTTATTTTTTATGTTTTACCTTCCCTACATGGATGTCTACTCTAATCTACCAATCTCAAAAATTATCCTCATATACATATAAAAAATCAATCTCTTATTTGTATATATATGTGGATTATTTTTGAGATTGGTAGATTAAAGTAGACATCCATGTAGGGAAGGTGAAACATAAAAAAACTGTGTAAAAATAACTGTAAGCAAACTGAAACATGAAAAAATACCTGTAAGTGGTAACTGGTAACAACTTAACAAGTAGCAACTAACATGTTGACACTGGTAACAGGCTAAGGTTGATAACACTACACCGAAATCTTTCGTACAGTTTTATTCTGTAATTTATATTATGTATGTATCATGCTGGTTTTTAAATAATATTTAATACTATTAAGTAAAATCTAAAGGCTTTATCTATAATTGTAGCGGTAGCGCTGTAGCGGCAAAACCTCGTATAGCTACTTAAATATGTAGCGGGCGCTATCGCTACCGCTACATTGCCTTAAATGTAGCGCCGCTACCGCTACTGAAAATGTAGCGGCCGCTACATGTAGCGCGCTACTGCCCACCTCTGGTATTGCCTACATTGTAAGGTTTGTCTTGGATTACGAATAAAAATGAGCAAGGAAGTGTAAATGCATCTCGATTTTGCCGTAGTTTTTGACAGTGTTTGGAAAATGAAGTTATTGCGTAAAGTGAAATTCTTCGGAATAGAGGCCATTGTATTTCAGTGTGTCAAAGATTTACTAATAAATAGCTTAAACTTCTGGGGTCAAGTGCAATAACGAACAGTATTAAGCCGCGCAGCGTTGTGGCAAGAAAGCGTTATCGGGCCAGTTTTGTTGTATGTGTTTATAAACAATCTGCCTGAAGCAGTGCAAAACCTCTGTTTCATCACTGCTAAACATATATAAGTTCAAAATACCGTGACACATGAATAAACGAAAATTTTCGGCAGTAAGCTAATCTAGCTATTTTATTTGATTGTTCGGAGACGTGGCGAGCAGCGTGTTTAAATGCAAATGCAGTTAGCTTTCAATTGGGCTTATAAATGAATCGAATACAGTCATGATGCAGCTTATCGCCCATGCGTCAATTTTAAGAAAAATATTTTTACTATAGAGGATTGGAAAACTTTGTAAAGAACACGGCGAATTATTTATCATGGTTGACTAGTTCAACCATGTTATTTATAATCTATGAGACGATCGATACGTGAAATGCTGTAGAGAGACGGTGCTAAAATACTTTTGAGTGAGATACGATATATTCCTAATCGAAAATGTTATGCTGTAGTCGATATTCTGAGCCGCGTAGCAGCAAAAGTGATTACGTCACGAGGTGAGACATCGTTTCGAGTGATCCGCAGGGCGCAGTCTACCGAAAATAGGCAACGAATATTGCCTAAAGTTGCGGCTACTTTCAAATTAAACGAGAGTTTTATATTACGGTTTCTGAAGAATTCTTGCTATAATATCTATTGTTAGAATTATATTTCATTGCAGCGCGCCAACATACCTAACATTTTTAATGCAAATTTACATGAAATCGTCTGTTGCGTCCTTTCATTTTTAAATAACAAGCAAGAAAATTTTATGAAGTTATTTTTTTCCTTACCATTGTATTGTTACGTAAAGAAATCGTTATATTTGCTTGAAAGGGACTTTTTGTTTCACTTGTTATAAATTTCATCAAAAACTTGTCAAATTTCTGAAAGATAACTACAACAATTTATCTGCTAAATTGTGAACGAAAACAATTAGAAGCGACAACAGTTTCAGTCTCAAACATTCGTCGTTGTCTGAAAAATGAATTTACGCTCAAAATAAAAAAATGAACTAATTGGCAAGCAAGAAGAACCACAAATTCCTATAATTTTCGCACATATAATAAAGGTTTGACAGCGCATGATGCGGTCACTTCTAAACCGACATCGACCATCGTAAAATCCCATAAATTAATAGAATATTTTACTATATTACTATACACGTTAATTGTGAATCATCTCTTGAAATGGTTAACAATGAATTTAAAAAAAGATAACATCAGATAATTTTTACATAAAAAGTCGTAAATATTAACGGGAATTCGGCGGGAAATATAAGGATGTCGTAAGTAATGTTGAGGGTATTAACCCTAAATACTTACTTACCCACGCTTCCGCAATGTCATATATGCGCGTGTTTTACCGCTTGCGTTTTCTGGCAATGTAAATGGCTGCTAGACTATGGCGCTGTTGTACATAAACTAAGTCCGGTCCGACACTCTTATAAGCTTGTCCCGGCTTAACTGACATTGGTTTTGTTATTGAGATTGAGCGCCTGTGAATGCAGTTCCGTTCAATTGAAACAGAGTTATATCGTTCATTAATTTTATCACCAATATTTCCTATATTCTGTATTAACAAAAAATTATCAATGCCCACTGCCGCGCGCGTCGAAGTATAATGTAAATGAATATATTACGCAATAATATGAAACCATTGCTTCTTCTAACACCTCGACGGGAATATTTCTATAGTTTAAGTTCTCGAAACTTCCAACTCATACCAGTTATTTTCAACGCATGCCATATAGTCTAGTTTGGCAACTACAATAATTCAGAAAAATTACCACCATGCAATTGATAGCCATATTAAGAAATTCATTAGGCCTTGAAATTCTAACCTTGAAAAATGAGTCAAGAATAACACAGGCAATATGTTCATTGCAACGATGTTACTAAAAAAACCCGCGAAACGGTAAAAATTCTTAAAATATTGTATTGATTGCAATGAAATATAATATTATAATAACAACAAATTTGTTGTATGCCTTAAGTTATTGATGAAATTCATGCTAACGGAATTTGTAAGAAGGATTTTATACTTCGAATGAATTAACGAGTGATATAGGCGAGAAAGGATGTAGATACAGAGATATAAGTAGAATATGAATATTACATATTAAGATTGGATGAAATATCAGTGGATTTCAGTGCCGGGTTAAATAACAGATGGTTTTGTTAGCAAATATCATTAGTGCCTGATGTGTTGCAGTTTTGATCAGTATGCATGCTTCATCCCTTCTCTAAAATAGTAATTTAGGCTCCACGAGGCCTCTTAGTCTTGCAAGTAATCAAAAACTTAAACATTTACACGAATAATCAAATTCACCCAAATTACACGTCATAAAAATTTTCTTTTGAAATATTGGACGCAGAAGTGTTGAACTGCAGTCGTAGAGAACGTTCATAAAGAATGTAATTGGTTAGTAGTTATGAATTTTAAGAACAGCAATGATCGGTCACGATGCTCTGCAGCTTTGTTCTGCATCGGGTTTCCTCAGGGTCACGAGTAAATTTATCCCTTGTCCTTAGATGGCCGAATCGTCCAGCAGATGCGATCTTGCCTGGAATTTTAAGCAGTGCTTTGGATGCGAAATGATGACCCTTGTGAGCTTTGAGCCAAGTTTGGCTCCGGCCTTTAATCACGCGTTAGAAAAAATCGCCTCGCTCGACTTTGTCAAATCGGGAGAACGTATTTGAAGGTGGATAGTGAAATGACCGGAAAGTAGTCTCGTAATTTCACTTTCTGCAAATGACAATGCAAACATCTGAATCTAATTAAAAGCATCTATAATTTCAAGCCCGAAATAAGTAAAAGCATCAGAAGATTGTTCAAAGCCATTGAAATAATTTTCATAAACATCTGTCAGTGCAGTTTAAATCAACAAAGAAGATCCCAAACCAAAACTTATATTCTAAGACATGTTTTTTGTGCAATTTTATCAAGTACGTAGCTGAAGACTAATAATGAACTTGCATGGCAGTTAGAGAACTCAGTTTTTGTCTTATTTTCAATTTCATTATTATTTACTGTTCCCTAACAAAATGATCGAGCCTTCATCATGCTATCGACTGGAATCCAATTCTCTGTCCACACAAGATTTTTTTACTATAATTATCTCGAAGAATTACAAGTAAAAAAATACAAATGTGAAAAGCTATTTCATTCTCGTCAAATTTCAACAGTCCTTCAGACTGTAATCTGAGAAGTATATCGCTACAGCAAAAAGTTTCATAAGCAACGAAACATTAAATGTGCGAGTCATCCAGTCTGATAATGGTTGTCCCTCGCCTGCAGTTAATGTGTCATGAAGTCATGTCCAGATTAAATTCATAAAAACAAATAGATCATGTTTTATACGTTGCATATCGGCAATGTCATAGTGCGAAGTTGAGATCTACAAAATATTTTTCTAAATACGTTTAAGCATC